ACACAGGTGAGGAGAGAAAGACTCAGATCTTTACTTGAGTTAAAAGTAGAAGTACTCAGATCTTGTACTTGAGTAAAAGTAGAAGTACTCAGATCTTACTTGAGTAAAAGTAGAAGTACCACAGTGTAGGAATACTCTGTTTCAGTAAAAGTACTGCATTTAAAATGTTCCTCAAGTGAAAGTAGAAAAGTATTCTCATCTAAATATAGTGAAAGTAACGACAGTAAAAGTAGAAGTACTCAGGTATTGTACTTGAGTTAAAGTAGAAGTACTCAGATCTTGTACTTGAGTAAAAGTAGAAGTACTCAGATCTTGTACTTGAGTAAAAGTAGAAGTACTCAGATATTGTACTGCAGTAAAAGTAGAAGTACTCAGATCTTGTACTTGAGTTAAAGTAGAAGTACTCAGATCTTGTACTGCAGTAAAAGTAGAAGTACTCAGATCTTGTACTTGAGTAAAAGTAGAAGTACTCAGATCTTGTACTTGAGTAAAAGCAGAAGTACTCAGATCTTGTACTTGAGTAAAAGTAGAAGTACTCAGATCTTGTACTTGAGTAAAAGTAGAAGTACTCAGATCTTGTACTTGAGTAAAGTAGAAGTACCAGAGTGTAGGAATACTCTGTGACAGTAAAAGTCCTGCATTCAAAATGTTCCCTCAAGTGAAAGTAGAAAAGTATTCTCATCAAATATAGTGAAAGTAGCGACAGTGAAAGTAGTCGTTGTGCAGATTGGTCCATTTCAGAATAATATATATGATATGTTTTATAATGATTGATCATTAAAGTGTTCTCAAAGCTGGTGAAGGTGCAGCTAGTCTGAATGACTTTGTATTCTGCAGGGTAGTGTTGAGATCTCCATATTAGGTTGAATAATTAAAACGAAAGTTAGTTATAATCAAATATAGTCAATTATATTCTTATATAACCCAAAATGAAAATGCTTCATATTTTATGATTTTCTATATTTACAGTATAAACAAAGTGGTTTGTTAAGTTGAGTGTTTGGCCTATAATGGTTTATGGGTGTCAGTGATAAGAGAGAGGCAGTTTCTTCCCTCTCCCCTCACAGCAGTACACAGGGAGGGGGGCTCCGGACTTAAGGAGAAAAACATTGAGGCCTCAAAAAGGTGTTTGTGTCATAGCCGAGAATAATATTTTGCAAGTCCTGCAGAGTAGGGGTCATGACCTTTTTACACAAACATGGGAAGGTGTGTCTTATGACATAGCCATAGAATATGTCTGGTCATGTCCAGTCCTGTACATCAGCGGCCATGCCCAGTTTCCACACATATGGGTATGGGGGAGGTGTCTTTAGGTTTCTATATCCTGTTGTTGAGCATGAAGACACTGGCGGAGAGGGAGCAAGCTGAGAGAGAGGGGGGGGGGTTCCCCTGGTATGCTCTCTCCCGGTAAAGCTCTCTCCCTGAGAGCTGGTGTTTTGCTCCCGGTAAGGTTCTCTCAAACTTGGTAAATATCTCTCAAATGTCTTTGTTGAATGCTGAGTGAATTTCTGGGTTGGATGAGTGGAATGAATTGATGTGTTTGTGAAGGTTAGGCCCGCCATCAGTGAGGAAACTTCCTCCGAATTCATGCGGATAGGTGTGTGTTTTTGAATGTTATTCCCGCCACCTGTCGGAATAAAGGTATGAAATTGATGTGAATTGATTTGGTGAATGAAAGTTTGAATGTGCTTTTTATTATCACCGGTCTTTTATGAGGAAATGCCTCTAAATTCTATCGGGAGATTTAAAAATCACAACTGAATTGGGCAGTTGAAGTTACGATTTAATGTAATAAATGTAAAACTGTGAATTAAAGTTTCATATTAGAACATGATCACAGCATGATAGGTTTAGAATGATTATCATGTTGTAAAGAGAGAAGGTAAAACCCTGTATTAGTTTGGACCCATTTTTCTTCAAATCAACTGATTCCACCTTTTGGATTGGGACAACTTAAAAGACATCTGCGCTCTCCTCTCCTGCTTCAAAGGTAAGACTGCACCCTGCCACACTCACACTTAGGTAGGGCCACACCTCATTACTGATATCAAAATCCTTCGGGATCGCTTCAACAGATTTAGCGGGTCGTCTGAATTGAAACAGCAGTTCATTGAACCTGGTTCTTCAGGAGTTAGTAGAGGTGAGATGTTGCTGACGTTGGTGGATCTGAGCCAAGCAGTAAACTTACATAGACTCAATAACTTCGGTTAGGTCAGTTAGTAGGTCTGAGTCATTTGCCGGAATAAGTTAACAGGCCTCCCGACTCCTACAGTAGCTTGTGAATTTACTCCAGGTGGAACTAAAGTCTGATTTAAGACTAGATTATATTTCACATCCTTCGTCCACATCTGTGAAGTAACTAAAGGTATTATTATGGGATGGCTGTTGTTAGTGGCAGATTGCTGGTGTCGGACACATTTCTGAGGTGATGCAGAACAATGGGAGCGAGTGGGAGGAAACTGCTGCAGCCATCGCCATGGTTACACACATCATGGTAATAACACTCACATTTATCATCTGCTTTATGAACTCCCTTATTACAATAGGAAATACATAACAAATAAATGTCAGGATGGATCAGATTCACCCTGAGTTCTTGAAGTTTGTTTATTCCTCATGCCTCCACAGGATCCCCAGACACCCAGAATATATTGATTTATTGAATTAAATGTCTCTATTTAAAACACTTTGGACGTAGAGAGATGGTGCAGCTGGGCCAGCATGAGACGGTTTATGTAGAAGTGTTTTTAGTCTAGTCACGTGAGACTTGGATTAGACTGCACCAGTTGTTAAACTCTGAAAATATTTACTTTCATTCCTCAATACTTTTCTCGCTGGAGCATGTGAAAAAAGTTACTCTCACAAGGTAGAAAGGGGATTTTTTAGGGATAAGGGATTTCTGAAAATCGAGTTATTCTTGAGAAGTGAGGGGTAAGTGGAGTGAGGTATTTTTTGGAAGACTGTGTCATTTCTGACAAAAAGTCCTTTTCAGTAGTGAGGTCATCTTTCCTTGTTTGTGTTTACAAGTGAAGGCCTTTTTTCAGAGGTAATGTCATTTTTGTTTTCATTTAATAAAAGTATTGAATTTATTTTAAATTGAGATTATGTTTCAGTAGTGGGTTTTTTTTTTAGTTAACGATTTTATGTTATATATATTTTTTCAATAAGTCATTCTTAAAAAGTGTTAAAGGTCCCATGTCATGCTTTTCTGGTTATTACCCGTCCCCTTGTGTTATGAAGGTTGTTCTGCATGTAAACGGTCTGCAGAGTCACTAACCCTCAAAGCACACCCTGTAGCGAGTAAAACTCTAACACAGAGAAGACCTGTCTGCTGCCCCAGAACGCCTCGTTGGACATTTCTCTTTTTTTACATTACATTACTTGTTAGACGCTTTTATCCAAAGCGACTTACACACTCAATACTGTGGGCAATCCCCACAGGAGCAATTTGGGGTGAAGTGTCTCAGAGACACAACGACATGCTGACTGCAGTGGGGTTTGAACCTGTGACCCCCTGACCCCACCACCAAGGCTCTATCCACTGCGTCACACGCCTCCTTTTCCTTGTTTCTTCCGGGATCCAAAATGGACCAATCCGCGGAGATCCTCACACCCCAGGAGGGGTGGGGACCTTTAGCGTACATTTTCAATTAACAGGGTTACCTGGTTGGTAATAGACGAGTTGGGATGGCGGAGAAATGCTCTCCGCAGACCCGTTCTCACAGCGCTATAAACCTTTTTCTTTCTCAATATCAAGCCACACTTATTGTTTTTACTTCGGCTGTGAGTGTGCGTGTGCTCAGGATGAGTTTCGCGCTGTCTCGCTGTCTCGCTGTATCGCCGACACGGAAACCACACCAGTAAGCCAGCTCACTGAGCAGCGAGCCTCGCAACGTCCCGACCAATCAGAGCACACTGGGCTCACAGGGAGGGGGGGGGGGGCAGGGGCTCCAACAAGCCGTTTAGGATAGAGAGTGAATACACATACTTTACAGAGATGCTGTGAGAAACCAATGTGAGTTTGGAACATTGAACAATGTAAATCTATTCTAGTCGACCTCAACAATGGAATTATGATCAGTAGAAATGGGACCTTTAAAAGAAATTGATATGAAATGATAATTTTGGGGGGTAAATGTTCATTTTACAAAAATGTCCACGAATGAAAATCTAGATGTTTCCTTTGTCTTCTGTCTATCTAAAGGCGATGCTTCCCATGTTGTTTTTACATTTGATTGATTTTGCTAACTTATAACTGAACTTAGGAGGCTGTATACCTCTCCTCTAGTGAGTGGACCAGCCCTTCGTATGGTTTTCTGCATGTGGCCCTCGGTGGAAAACAGTTTGGACACCGCTGATTAATATCTAGATGTTACCTCTGTAAAGCCCAATGACTTATTTCCATAACCAGCTTGAAATAGACCCTTCACATTTCCCCTTATTGTAATCAATCTGAGGCTCCTGATGAGCTGCCAACTCAATAGAGTAAACCCTCTGGAGAGCTGGGATGTTTCTTAACGCATATTCAAGTATCAAGAATAATGTACCTACATTTGGTGAATTTACTAACTTATAACTGAACTTAGGAGGCTGTATACCTCTCCTCTAGTGAGCGGACCAGCCCTTCGTATGGTTTTCTGCATGTGGCCCTCGGTGGAAACAGTTTGGACACTCAGGATTAAAATATAAATGTTACCTTAGTTCTGCTTATCCATAACAGTCTGCAACTTACACATTATTTGTCTAATATATCATATTCCTATTACTTGTATTAAGACTCTCCTTGCACTATTTCTATTCTATTTGTATTACTTGCACTATTTTAACTATTGTATCTGTTGTATTGTGTTGCACTGCTGGAGGAGCCTGTGACCTCATATCTTCATTGATATATCTACTAGCTACTGTATGTTCACATGACAATAAAAGCCTTGAATCTAAGGGTGATGCTTCCCCAGTGTAACTCACCGAGGCAGGTGGCCGCCTGGCGTCCGAAGTGCACGGTGTCGAGGCACACGGTGCACTTGGCGGCCCTCATGTTGAGCCCCACGGAGAAGCGGTGCGCCGTGTTGTGGTGCAGACGCTCCCTCTGACTGTCCTTCAGGCGCCGGCTGAACTCTGGACACAGCGGGGGGGGACACAGTGAGGGGGGGGGAAACAGCGAGGGGGGGGGGAACAGTGAGGGGGGGCAGAGAAACACTGACTCCCCATGCCAAAACAACCAAAGGAACGGGGGGGGGGGGATGTTCAGCAGGATGCAGAAGCAGGTAAACTCTGGAGATGATTTATTGATCTGAGTTTGAGCCCACTCTCTGCTGCAAGATATTATCCAGTCTGTTCACCACTGTGTGTTCAGTCTATCACTTTAATGCCACTTTTAGTTTAATTTAAGAGCAAGTTTAAGCACACTTATGCCACAATCCAGATTTCAGTTTTAGAATGCTATGTCAGAAAAAAAAGATTTATAAAATGTTAATTCTCATATATTTTAAAGACTTTTTAAAGATTGATTCAAGACATTTTAATTTCCAATAAAAGCCATGTAATTTGGTGAATTAATTCAATGCCTTTTACGATTCAGGATGTGCTGGAACATTTTCCATAAAACATTTGGTTTCATGCAAAAATAATGACTTGAAGAAAACTGGATAAAATAATCAAATCGATGGATTTATTGTTGTTTTTATTTCACATTAAATCAATTAGTTAGTAATTACTAGGGTTTTTATGTAATATTAATTATTATTATTATTTAGAATCAGAATACTTTATCTGATTATCAAACTTCATCCCAGAAGAAATTGTGGTTTCGTATACAGTTACGTTACCTATAATATCATTATGACACTAAAACTATAATTTATTACAAAATATTACAATTATTTTAAATGTATTTAAATTCATATCCAATAGGCGCTTTCACACCAAGTACTTTGCCGTACTTAGTTCATGAGAACTCGTTAGTTCTGATGAACTAAAGAGCAGATCGCGTTCACACTGGAATAAGTCCCTGAAGGAGGATTAGGCAAATGAAGCCGCTGACGTCACTTCTTCTTCTTCTGCTTTGGGTTTACTGGCAGGCCGCAAACAACTTCACGGCGTATACTGCCGCCCGAAGTCCCCGGCCGGAAGTCCCCGGAGTTGGGGACTGGCTTCAGTAGAAGCTGCTGGGACTCCCATCAGCTTCTACTGAAGCCTTCCGAGTAAACAGACAGAACGCCGACACCTCCTCATCTCCACCGCTCCCATGTTTGCTTTTGTGTTGCCATAAGTTACGGAGCGTCCACACAGCAGCGTGCGTTGACGCTTGGAGGTGGGCGTATCTGAAGCTTGGGGATTTTTTGCGAGCAACGCGACCAACAACCAATCACATGAATCTCCTGCCCCCGACATACAAAGCAATAGCAATGTTAAAACGAAGTAAACTGGATATAAACTCCCCAAACAGGTGAAAACCTACCAGTTTCACCCACTGTCTCTGCCACCTCCCTCCATGCCTCGCTCCTCCGGTTTGTATCCCGGTAGATGAACAGAGACTGATCATACAGCACCGGGTGATTCTCTACCGCTAAAATGAATTTTCCCTCCATTTTTTGAATATGAGGAAATGACCTGCGTAGTCTCTCCCAGCATACACGCGGTTTGATTGGCTAGCGCTTGTACTGGCAGATTTGCATAAACGGGATTTCATTGGCTGACGCTTCTGCCGAGGCGCCAAAAGTTGAACATTGCTCAACTTTTGAAGCCAGCAACGCCAGCAACGCTCCACGTCGCTTCCCAAAATGCAGTTTGGCTAAAAGTGACGTCACCCCATTCAAAGTGAATGGGCAGAAGCGTTGGAAGCTTCAACGCACGCCACTGTGTGGACGGGCCGTTAGTCTCTCTGCGTTTCTGCGCTGGGCTAATGCTAATGCTAATAATGCTAATGCTAGGATAATAAAATGGCGGCTTCACAAAACTTTTTGGGAGTTTTACGGGGCATGGTTTGCAATCCGCCCAGCCAATCAGACATGGGAACCTTTTTCTCCCACGAAAGTACCTGCTCTCTAGCAGGGACGGAAAAGGGGGTGGAAAGGTTCTCATTAACTAATTTCTAGTTCCGGATTTTTTTGGTGTGAACGCACATTTTTGGAACTATATCGGAACTAAACTGGGAAAAGTACTGCGGTGTGAAAGCGCCTATTGATGATTTCAATTTAAAATAAGAATGATCTAGGTTTAACTTTGTCGTTGTAGCGTTGACTGTTTTGTTAACTAAATGACTGAGTAATACCTTTATTGTTTATTACAGAGCGTGGGTTCAAACAGCGCTCAGTGCATGGCAGAGGTAACATCTGTCAGTGTGTGAGAACATCTCAGGTTGGAGTGAAATCTGCAAATCAGATCGGCGTAGCTTCAGCAACCAAGATAACAAAATGCTTCAGATTTATAAAGCTGTGCACTGAGAAGCTGAATGATCGCTCAGGGTTTATACAAAAGAAGTGCAGAGCTTTTCAAATCTGGCCTTTCAAAGGGATGTGGATGAGGCAACGAGGAGACGAGAGGTACAGACCAAACTGCAGAGAGCCCAGTTTGGACCACTTACTTTCAAAAGTGACCCTCCTTCTCTCTGAAAGGTGTGTGAAGGAGAAAGGATAGAAAGAGTCTCATAAGTGATCCGGAGGGAGAGATATCACAGGTGTGTTTTCTAACGTGTGCAGGTGAGGGCCAAGGTGTGTCGAGCATTTGAAGCTGCTTAAATGTGTGTGTGTGTGTGTGTGTGTGTGTGTGTGTGTGTGTGTGTGTGTGTGTGTGTGTGTGTGTGTGTGTGTGTGTTGGGTCCACAGAGCCCCTTAGCCTATCACGTACAATGTGTTGGAGCGCTAGCCAATAGGAGTGTGAATGTTCCATAGTGATGTCACTATGTTCCTGAAGTAAACAAAGGAGTGTTTGCTTCTCTTCCAGTTTCTAAAGTGATTCATCTGCGTGTTTCTTGAAATATTTTTAACTCCAAGCGCATCGAACACGTTTTCTCTGTACTCATTTGAATCAATGTATCAATGTCTGGGAGATAAACCCCTTCTGCAGGAAACAGGGATGTTATCCTTTGCAGACCATTTACATGCACTAAAACCTGTATCACACACTAAGGGAAGGGAAGCCCCCCAAAAGCCTCTCTAAAAAGGCGCGTTGTGGACAGAGAGAAAAGGCTGACTTCAGTAAACCTCCCCCCTTCTCTTTCTCACCCTCGGGTGTGGCGGTGTTCTTCCTGCGCTCAGAGTTGGAGGGGTTCAGGGCGGGGGGGCCCTGCTGGTGCTCAGGAGACTTCACCATGGCCGACAGGATCATCTGCTGCCGAGCGGAGGCCGGGGTCCCAGAGCTCCCGTGGTCCTTATACTGCAGCGCTGGGGACGGAGCATTCAGTCATCACTTCATTATGAGTCGGATGCTTCATCCTGCTGAGCATACTGTCTGCTATGGAAGCCCTGAGACACAAGTTATGACCATAGACTGTATATATAAATGGACGTAGGGTCCGTGACGTCACCCATAGGATTCTGCAGAGTTGCCGAGAAGCCCTTAGGCGGAGTCGGCCACTAACGGCTTCTTTCTCTCTCTTGATCATTATAGTCTCTCTTCTCTTAGTCATTACGGTGCTTCACAGCGGTCTGTCCTACTGTCGTATTGACCTCTGAAATGTCCGAATGGACCAATCAGAATCGAGTATTCAACTAAGCCATGTTTTTAACCCTTAGATGCCCTTAGAGTGACTGGACCCTACACTCTTCCATAAGTGGGTCAAAAAGGACCCGTATTAGAATAATATGTGTTTTTATGCCATTTTTGTCATTTTGGTTCAGAAAGATCACTTATAATATTTAGTATTATATTTTGGTTCACACTAGAAATATTTATATTTAATTTTTCACTATTTATAATTTGACGTTTTTTTTACATTTAGAAAAAAAACGTTTTGAACATATCGATGCAAAGATCTCCGCTATTCTGAGACCCTCACAGTATTCCTGCCCCTTTTCAAGACTCATCTCTTCTCCTCTTGTCTACTCATAGCCCACCCCCCCCCCCCCCCCCCCCCCCCCCCCGTCAATCCATGCCGGTTGATCAAGTTTGAAAGTCCTATACCCCCCCCCCTAACCTTCCCTTATATTGTGAAGTGATGTCCTTGAAAAGCCCTATACAAATATAATGTATTATTATTATTATTATACTGACAGGTTTCAGATCTTGCTGTGTAAAGTAATCTTCCTGAGAGGTGTCACTTGTGATGTCGTCTGTGTGTTCCACAGTGAATGTATTCCTGACAGCAACAGGTGATTAGAATCAAAGGTTCCCAGAGGATCCCATAGGAAATGCATGCGGGTCATTTTCGACCCACTTATGGAAGCTTGGGGTAGCAATGCAAAAACTACAATTTCTTAAAATGTAAGTTTAAAATGTGAATGGCATGATATCCAAAACATGTTTTTGAGGAATAGCTGGAATATGAAATGATACAAAAATGTAATTACAACGATACTTCAAGAAAACCACCTCACCGGGTCCAAGAAGGGTATAGGGGAATTGTTGCGCTTCATCTTCCTGTGGCCGACATGAGTATTACAACAACAACTTTTTTCCACCAATGAGGAACTTTGAAAGATGATCCTGGCAACACGTTTTCTGGGTGTTCGCCAGTCATAAACACAGGGGAAAACTATTTGGATCAGATTTAGAAAATGGATACCCATAGTTTTTTTTCTTTACCCCACTCGCCTTCAGGGCTTCCGTAGTTATCTGTATAGAGTCATCTACGCCCTTCTGCTTCCGCCCCATGGGACCTTATTTCAGAAAAAGTTCGCATTGAATTCAATGGAGAGAGAAAACTTATCTTTCGATCCCGTTTGAATTGTGCCATGAATTACACATATGATGTTTGTCAATCTTAAAAGATAATTTCCGTGTCAAAAAAGTCACAGTTTGTCGTAAAACTGTTGAAATATAAGACTATGAAAAATACGCAACTAGAAAGACTACAAATCCCAGAGTCCCGGTCCCGCATGCTGGCTCTCACGGAACCGACTAACTCCCCTTGTGTGTGTGCACAGCTCTCAACGTGCCCAGACTTGGAGTGATTTTCACCTCTTTTAATACTTTCCGCCTCATTCTGAAAGAAAGAAGTGAAATGTTTCAACGTGACGGCCGTCTTGGTGTTTGTGCGAGACGGGAGATGTAGTTCATTGAGCGCTTCACACAAAACAAAGTGTTACTTCACAGTTTTACGACATATTTAAATGTTTTTGACTTGTAAAATTATCTTTTAAATTGACAAACATCATATGTGTAATTCGTGGCACAATTAAAACGGGATAGAAAGATAATCTTTCTCTCTCCATTGACTTCAATACATACAATCCAAAATAAGGTCCCATGGAGGTCCCCCGGAAAGGGGAGGGACTTCGCCTCTCTATTTCAAAGACAGAGGAAACAAGACTGCGAGAGACAGGAAGTCCTGCAGGACCTCGGAAGGACATATAATATGCTTTTGCAGGCTACGTATACGGCTTATGAGTCTGCTATTAAATCGCTTTTTTGTATTTTCTTGTGTTTTATATTGATTTTCATCGAGTTTTTCAGTCTGTGGCTATACAGTAAGTCTGGTTTTATTGTCTTGTGTTTTAAAAGAATTGTTTTGTCCTATCGGTTTTGTCTAATTATATGTATTGATGTACAGCACGTTGGTCGACTCTGCTGTTTTTAAATGTGCTATATACATAAAGTTGGATTGGATGAGTTTCCCATATCTCAAAGAGAGTCACTCACCCTCCTCCCTCAGGGAGCGCAGCTCTCCTCTCATCTTCTGCAGCGCCTCCTCCAGCTCCGTGCTGCGACTCCTCTCTTTGTCCAGAGCCAGCTTGATGTCGCTGTACTGCAGAGGCACCGGCTGGATGGAGGGCAGCGGGGACACCGGACCCTGACCCTGGACCTGGCTCTGATTCTGACTCTGATTCTGAGCCTGAGCAGCCATGGCAGCCAGAAGGTCTTCCCGACGACGGCCAAACAGACCCTGAGAGGAGCAGGAACAATATTTATTAACGATTAATATGCTCCTTCATTTCCACATGAGTGCTGAGTGTAGTTTCTATGTGGTGATGATCTACAACTATCTCTGAACGGCATAGGATGTCCTGAATTTAAACTTTATATTACATTCATTTTTTTAAACTTGTTAAATTACTTGAATTTTCCGCTTCTATTTTGGGAAGTAATTTGCACTAATATTGATTTCATTTTCATTTTTTCATTTAATCGTTTATTTGAAGAGCACATTGATGAATGCTTTATATATAAATATGGCTTTTATTGTATTTATTTGTTTCATTATTATTATTATTTATTTTACATTTTTAAGCTCTCATCCTTTTATCATTTCATGTGCCATATTTAAAAATTATAATAATTTACAAGCCACTGTTAAATATATATTTGCACATAACACATGAAGACCTGACAAAGAGATGTCAAAATGCAACTCTGAAAACTCTACAAAGCAATGGCATAGTTGGACAAATCTTAGTGCAATGATTGCAAAACTTAAAAAGATTTAAAGTTAGAGAAAATATTGAACAAAAAAACGAAATAATCCGGTTTTTTTTTAAATACAAAAAAACTGGAACAAAAACAATCTCGATGACTGCACAGCTGTTGCAACCTCTGTCGCCTCCTAAAACAAATCAGATTGAAAACATGGAGCTGACCTTCTTCTTCTTGGAGCCCCCGTGCGCCTGGGCCTGCAGGAAGTCGATGAGCTTGGTCTGCTGCGTGATGGTTCCCTCCATCTTCACCTTCTCATGGGAGTACACCGCCTGCAGGTGGAGCTAAGTGAACATCACTACTGCCATGAATGTCTCCTCCAGGACTTCACTTCACACACAGAGGGGGAGGGGGGGGTACGGCAGGGTGCTGGGGGGTAGGACAAAGTGTGGGGGGAGGTGTGTGTGTGTGTATGTGTATTATTATTAAAACAAAGTGACAGAGGGAAACACGACTGCAAGAGACTGGAAGTCCTGCGGGACCTCATCATGATATCTGAGTGTGTGTTTCCTGCACATACAGATTAGAAAGTGTATGCAGGGTTGAAGTACTTTAAATAGTTTCATCAACATGTGAAGATCTGACTATCACCATCATTACAAACACTGTGTATAAACGTGTGTGTGTGTGTGTGTGTGTGTGTGTGTGTGTGTGTGTGTGTGTGTGTGTGTGCAGCACCTGGACGTTCTCCAGCTGGTACTCCAGGTCGGTCCTCTCGGTCTTCAGCAGGTCAGCCTGGTCCAGAGCATCCTGCAGACCCTGGGTCAGCCGGAAGATGTGCGTCTTCTGAGCGTCCGTCTGCTGCTGCAGCTTCTCCTGCTGCGGGGGGACAGATGTTGTTGTGTTACCTTTAACATCTGGACGCTGAACCCTCTTACAACTGATGCTGATATTCAGAGGTGGGAAGTAGTGGAGTACAAATACTTTGTTACTGTACTTAAGTATATTTTTCTGGTATCAGTACTTTACTCGATTACTTGTTTTTCTGACGACTTTTTACTTTGACTTCTTACATGTTGAACCCAAATACCTGTACTTTCTACTTCTTACATGTTGAACTCAAATACCTGTACTTTCTACTTCTTACATGTTGAACCCAAATACCTGTACTTTCTACTTCTTACATGTTGAACACAAATACCTGTACTTTCTACTTCTTACATGTTGAACTCAAATACCCTGTACTTTCTACTTCTTACATGTTGAACCCAAATACCTGTACTTTCTACTTCTTACATGTTGAACCCCAATACCTGTACTTTCTACTTCCTTACATGTTGAACACAAATACCTGTACTTTCTACTTCTTACAATGTTGAACTCAAATACCTGTACTTTCTACTTCTTACATGTTGAACCCAAATACCTGTACTTTCTACTTCTTACATGTTGAACCCAAATACCTGTACTTTCTACTTCTTACATGTTGAACACAAATACCTGTACTTTTCTACTTCTTACATGTTGAACCCAAATACCTGTACTTTCTACTTCTTACATGTTGAACACAAATACCTGTACTTTCTACTTCTTACATGTTGAACTCAAATACCTGTACTTTCTACTTCTTACATGTTGAACTCAAATACCTGTACTTTCTACTTCTTACATGTTGAACCCAAATACCTGTACTTTCTACTTCTCACATGTTGAACTCAAATACCTGTACTTTCTACTTCTTACATGTTGAACACAAATACCTGTACTTTCTACTTCTTACATGTTGAACCCAAATACCTGTACTTTCTACTTCTTACATGTTGAACTCAAATACCTGTACTTTCTACTTCTTACATGTTGAACCCAAATACCTGTACTTTCTACTTCTTACATGTTGAAACACAAATACCTGTACTTTCTACTTCTTACATGTTGAACTCAAATACCTGTACTTTCTACTTCTTACATGTTGAACACAAATACCTGTACTTTCTACTTCTTACATGTTGAACACAAATACCTGTACTTTCTACTTCTTACATGTGAACCCAAATACCTGTACTTTCTACTTCTACATGTTGAACTCAAATACCTGTACTTTCTACTTCTTACATGTTGAACACAAATCCTGTACTTTCTACTTCTTACATGGTTGAACACAAATATACCTGTACTTTCTACTTCTTACATGTTGAACTACAAATACCTGTACTTTCTTACTTCTTACATGTTGAACACCAAATACCTGTACTTTCTACTTCTTACATGTTGAAACACAAATACCTTTACTTTCTACTTCTTAACATTTGAACACAAATACTGTACTTTCTTCTACTTCTTACACTGTTGACACAAATACCTGTACTTTCTACTTCTTCTCTTACATGTTGAACTACAAATACTTACTTTCTACTTCTTACATGTTGAACACAAATACCTGTACTTTCTACTTCTGTACATGTTGAACAGCAAATACCTGTACTTTCTACTTCTTACATTTGAACACAAATACCTGTAACTTTACTACTTCTTACACTTTGAACACAAATACCTGTACTTTCTACTTCTTACATGTTGAACTCAAATACCTGTACTTTCTACTTCTTACACTTGAACACAATACCTGTACTTTCTACTTCTTACAATGTTGAACTCAAATACCTGTACTTTCTACTTCTTACATGTTGAACTCAAATCCTGTACTTTCTACTTCTTACATGGTGAACCCAAATACCTGTACTTTCTACTTCTTACATGTTAAATAACACAAATACCTGTACTTTTCTACTTCTTACATGTTGAACTCAAATACCTGTACTTTCTACTTCTTACACTTTGAACACAAATACCTGTACTTCTACTTCTTACATGTTGAACACAAATACCTGTACTTTCTACTTCTTACATGTTGAACACAAATACCTGTACTTTCTACTTCTTACATGTTGAACACAAATACCTGTACTTTCTACTTCTTACATGTTGAACTAAATACCTGTACTTTCTACTTCTTACATGTTGAACACAAATACCTGTACTTTCTACTTCTTACATGTTGAACACAAATACCTGTACTTTCTACTTCTTACATGTTAAACACAAATACCTGTACTTTCTACTTCTTACACTTTGAACCCAAATACCTGTACTTTCTACTTCTTACATGTTGAACACAAATACCTGTACTTTCTACTTCTTACATGTTGAACACAATACCTGTACTTTCTACTTCTTACATGTTGAACACAAATACCTGTACTTTCTACTTCTTACATGTTGAACACAAATACCTGTACTTTCTACTTCTTACATGTTGAACCCAAATACCTGTACTTTCTACTTCTTACATGTTGAACCCAAATACCTGTACTTTCTACTTCTTACATGTTGAACCCAAATACCTGTACTTTCTACTTCTTACATGTTGAACCCAAATACCTGTACTTTCTACTTCTTACATGTTGAACTCAAATACCTGTACTTTCTACTTCTTACATGTTGAACTCAAATACCTGTACTTTCTACTTTCTTACATGTTGAACCCCAAATACCTGTCTTTCTACTTCTCACATGTTGAAACTCAAATACCTGTACTTTCTACTTCTTACATGTTGAACACAAATACCTGTACTTTCTACTTCTTACATGTTGAAACCCAAATACCTGTACTTTCCTACTTCTTACATGTTGAACTCAAATACCTGTACTTTCTACTTCTTACATGTTGAACCCAAATACCTGTACTTTCTACTTCTTACATGTTGAACACAAATACCTGTACTTTCTACTTCTTACATGTTGAACTCAAATACCTGTACTTTCTACTTCTTACATGTTGAACACAAATACCTGTACTTTCTACTTCTTACATGTTGAACACAAATACCTGTACTTTCTACTTCTTACATGTTGAACCCAAATACCTGTACTTTCTACTTCTTACATGTTGAACTCAAATACCTGTACTTTCTCTACTTCTTACATGTTGAACACAAATACCTGTACTTTCTACTTCTTACATGTTGAACACAAATACCTGTACTTTCTACGTCTTACACTTTGAACACAAATACCTGTACTTTCTACTTCTTACATGTTGAACTCAAATACCTGTACTTTCTACTTCTTACATGTTGAACACAAATACCTGTACTTTCTACTTCTTACATGTTGAACACAAATACCTGTACTTTCTACTTCTTACACTTTGAACACAAATACCTGTACTTTCTACTTTCTTACATGTTGAACTCAAATACCTGTACTTTCTACGTCTTACACTTTGAACACAAATACCTGTACTTTCTACTTCTTACATGTTGAACTCAAATACCTGTACTTTCTACTTCTTACATGTTGAACACAAATACCTGTACTTTCTACTTCTTACATGTTGAAACCCAAATACCTGTACTTTCTACTTCTTACACTTTGAACACAAATACCTGTACTTTCTACTTCTTACATGTTGAACTCAAATACCTGTACTTTCTACTTCTTACACTTTGAACACAAATACCTGTACTTTCTACTTCTTACATGTTGAACTCAAATACCTGTACTTTCTACTTCTTACATGTTGAACTCAAATACCTGTACTTTCTACTTCTTACATGGTGAACCCAAATACCTGTACTTTCTACTTCTTACATGTTAAACACAAATACCTGTACTTTCTACTTCTTACATGTTGAACTCAAATACCTGTACTTTCTACTTCTTACACTTTGAACACAAATACCTGTACTTTCTACTTCTTACATGTTGAAACACAAATACCTGTACTTTCTACTTCTTACATGTTGAACACAAATACCTGTACTTTCTACTTCTTACATGTTGAACACAAATACCTGTACTTTCTACTTCTTACATGTTGAACTAAATACCTGTACTTTCTACTTCTTACATGTTGAACACAAATACCTGTACTTTCTACTTCTTACATGTTGAACACAAATACCTGTACTTTCTACTTCTTACATGTTAAACACAAATACCTGTACTTTCTACTTCTTACACTTTGAACCCAAATACCTGTACTTTCTACTTCTTACATGTTGAACACAAATACCTGTACTTTCTACTTCTTACATGTTGAACACAAATACCTGTACTTTCTACTTCTTACATGTTGAACTCAAATACCTGTACTTTCTACTTCTTACATGTTGAACACAAATACCTGTACTTTCTACTTCTTACATGTTGAACACAAATACCTGTACTTTCTACTTCTTACATGTTGAACACAAATACCTGTACTTCTACTTCTTACATGTTGAACCCAAATACCTGTACTTTCTACTTCTTACATGTTGAACCCAAATACCTGTACTTTCTACTTCTTACATGTTGAATCCCAAATACCTGTACTTTCTACTTCTTACATGTTGAACCCAAATACCTGTACTTTCTACTTCTTACATGTTGAACCCAAATACCTGTACTTTCTACTTCTTACATGTTGAACCCAAATACCTGTACTTTCTACTTCTTACATTTTGAACACAAATACCTGTACTTTCTACTTCTTACATGTTGAACCCAAATACCTGTACTTTCTACTTCTTACATGTTGAACCCAAATACCTGTACTTTCTACTTCTTACATGTTGAACTCAAATACCTGTACTTTCTACTTCTTACATGTTGAACTCAAATACCTGTACTTTCTACTTCTTACATGTTGAACTCAAATACCTGTACTTTCTACTTCTTACATGTTGAACTCAAATACCTGTACTTTCTACTTCTTACATGTTGAACTCAAATACCTGTACTTTCTACTTCTTACATGTTGAACCCAAATACCTGTACTTTCTACTTCTTACATGTTGAACCCAATACCTGTACTTTCTACTTCTTACATGTGAACT